TTTGCTGTTGCTTGAAGAGGGTAGTAGAGGAGTGGGAGAAAAGGTGTGGCACTCTCATGACTACCTGCATAAATGGGGAAACATTATCAGAAACATAAGAGGGAAATTCTAGTTTGAACATTGTATAAATTCAGCATTTTCCCTTCTTGGAAATCATACACTACAAGAAAAATGTTAAAAAGAAAAGCATACTGTCTTTAATAAAAATAGAAGAGAATTCAGACCTACAAAATAGGTAGAAGTTTTTCCAGAAACAATGGAGATGGAGCAAGGGTACGTGCAAGAAGCAATACCACAATAAGAATTGTTTTTGCAGGCTCTGAGATCTACAAGTGTGATATCCTCTCTAGGCACCTTCTCAAGTAGAAGAAAGCCAAAGGGGTCATGACCTGATAAGATTTAATTTAAAGGAAAACACATTAAATGAATTGAAAAGGGTGCTTTAATAGTGGAAGAGTGCAGATCACACTATACCAAATAACGTCATTTGAATATGTAAATATTCAAAAAACTCCCCTACCACCTGAAAAAAGTTTTTTTACACTTAATTTTTGAATCAAAGAGCAAAATGAAGATTTCAGAGTACTACTTAGAAAATAATTGTGAAAATACTGAATATCAGAGCTTTGGATTATCGCTAAGAAAAAGTATTATAACTTCAAATAATGACCACGAAAGAATGTAAATAAATGAATTAAGAATCCAACTTAAGAAGTTAAAGAATGAACAGTAAGCCTAAGGAAAGCAGAAGGAATTAACAAAGATAAAAATGGAAATAAACTTAATACAGAAAACATATCCAAAGCAGATTCTCTTGGAGTAGGTAGGGGTGGGGGGATGGGGGAGGAAATAACAATAAAATAAGTAGCTAACCTAATCAAAAAAATTATAAAAATATCTCGAGATGACCATGAATACTGAAAACAAAAAGGGGATCTTAAGATACTGCTCTGCGCAATGGTTAATTCTCTGTGAAAGTATAACTTACCAAAACAATCAAGAAAATAGGACATTTAAACAAATAGAAGAAGTTTAGAGAGAAGAATGTTATATTTCTATTTTTGTGTCTGCATGAGTGTGTTTTTAAAGGAGGGTGGGTGAAAAAAGAACCTTAAGAGAGAGACAACTGTGTGGAGGACAGCTAGCCAAACTTTCAACTCTGAGTTGACTAAAGTTATATTCTGAATTTTCCACTGCTAATTGCCAATTATCACACCCACGACTGTGGGCTATTTCACTTTCATTTATCTACCGTAAAAAAAAAATTGTCAATTTTATTTTGCTACTTGGAATGGCATGTTGATTCATAAATTGGAACATCAAATTGTTTTAAGTTGATAAGTAAACAATGTATATTTTGCACTTACTCATTTTCTAAACTTTTAAAAAAAAAATGCAACCGTGTTTCAGACATTGAGCTAAAATGACTGAGACACAGTCTGCTCTCAGGGAGCTTATGAGGCTACAGAGTAAGATACATACACACATATTGTACGGTGGGATAAAGTATCGGTGCATCCACATAGTGGAAATACTGCAGTAGTCCTGAAAAGTAGTAACATTATTAAAAATTAAGACACTTAACAGGGGGAATTGAGAGATGATGGTGAATTTAAAAAGCCTTTTAAAGATGGAGCTCAGCCTCAGGCCATAAAAAAAGGTGCCCTCTTAGCGTAATTAGGTACACATAATGAGAAAGTATAAGAAAAATATATTTCTATTAGTAAGGAATATAAAGCTTATTTGGGCAAGTAAGTAGAGCATATTTAAAATAGAATAGAGAAGATAAAGCCAGATTTTTGAAGGTCTTACAATCCAAGCAGAGGAATTTATATTTATGTCCAGAAATAAAGAGCCATTGAACATTTTTGAACATGGCCGACTTCTCAAATCTGCTTTAAAGTAAGTTTTTTGTTTGTTTTTTTTGCTGCTGTTGTTTTTTACCAATATAATAAGTTGCTTTATTTACAGAAACAGTATCAGATTCATCTTTGTATGGTTCAACCCTGGTAACATAATAGTGCTCAAGAGACAAGAGAAACCTGAGATGATGGAAGTAAAGATGCTGAGTCTGTAAGAGGGAAGACCAAATCAGCATTTAAACCAAACCATATCTTGAGCAAAGACCTTCACAAGTACCAGCCCCAAACGCCTGTAATTGGCCAAAATTTGATTGGCAATTGGTGCCTATTCATAGACAGCCTACAGTTAGTATCGGAAGATTAAAAAGATGATGAGGAAGAAAAAGACGTAGTAATGGACCGGGGGAATTACATGATCAAATTGGGGAGATATTCTTTTCCCTCATGCATCAACTCTCCAGAACTTGGAAAAATCAGAATCTATGATCCTTTTTGTTTTCTTTGCTTTTATTATTTTTCTAAGCTATTTTTCTTTCTGTGCCATGTATTTCATACAATTAATCCTGCAACTCTTCAGAATTTACACCATCCTGGGATTGTAAACCTGGAATGTATGTTTGAAACCCCAGAACGCGTTTTTGTCGTAATGGAAAAGCTGCATGGAGATATGTTGGAAATGATTCTCTCCAGTGAGAAAAGTCGACTTCCGGAACGAATTACTAAATTCATGGTGACACAGGTATTTTAACTCTTAGAACTAGAGGATAATTAAAAACTACATAAGAGAATTAAATAGTCATGCTTTTACCTATTGGGACAGTATGGGAATTGTTAACCTTAAATAGAAATACACCTTTTGTAAAATCTTGATGAACTGGACTTTTCATGTTACTATACCATTCAAGGGGTCAGATTGGGGTTTAGCTATGATTTTTTCAGATGTTGAAAAAAAATCTTCCTTCAATAACAGATACTTGTTGCTTTGAGGAATCTACATTTTAAGAATATTGTGCACTGTGATTTAAAGCCAGAAAATGTGCTGCTCGCATCGGCAGAGCCATTTCCTCAGGTGAGATATCCTCTGAGCTTTTTAAGTATCGTTACGACAACGTTATGAAGTACCTATGTAATGAAAGGCAGTGCTGTAAGTTCAACTATATAACCATTTTACAGAAATAAAAGGGTTAATACATGAATAATTTGACTTCAGATGTTACTAATTATATTATTTTCATTAAGATGTTTCAGACTTAACCAGATCACAAGGAATACCTTTTGCATGTAGACTGTTTGCAATCTACCTGTCTTCGTGGGTTGAGAATGAAGTGGGGAAAATTAGGGTTGGTTGGTACTTGGTGCTCAGGACAAATACCCCATAAAATAAAACAATCTTAGGGGTAACCCTGAATTGGGAAATAACTAGAGTTTGGTTGAGGCAGGTAGCCGACTCTTCTTCCTCTTTAAAGTACTGTATTTCAAATATTTTCACCAAAACCTACATAAGAATTACATTTCCTGTCAGCACCAGCGCTCACATATGACGATATGTGTGTGTTGGTGTATGTCCTATGTGAGACATACTGATTTATTTACTCAAATTTCATTTAAATAAAAAGTATTGATCCAAATTTGTTTCATAACCAAAAAATGGGTCATAACTCACAGTTTGAAAAAGTTGTTCTGAGGAATATATGTTGATGGTACCTCTCAGTGTTTTTCATGATTATATCATTGATGAATCTTCCCAAACAGCTAGAATATCTGTTGCCACAAACTATTGATGTATACATTCAAAATATGTACAACTAGACAAATGGCTAGAATAAAAACAGCAGATGGTATCTCACTTGGTAACTACAACTCAAATTGTCTTTTAAAGATTTATTTTAAGAAATTACACAGGTCTTTTAAAGAAGTAATCATATTCTATTATAATGTCTGTGTGGTTAGAAGTGATTGTCATTGTGAGGTCAAAAAGGGCTCCCTAATAGTTGGTGCTACATTTTAAATAAAGTGCTTCCATATGTTATCTCACTTGACCTTCAAAACAGTGTGGGCAAAGGATGCACACTCCTACAGCTAAGGCTAAAACTCCAACTTTCTCACCTCTGCTTTAGTGATTCCTATTACACTAGAAGAGAAGGGAAAATAACATTGTTTACTTGATAGTCCTTTTTGCTCAAGTGCTAGCTGTGGCCATGCTAAATAAGGTACCAAACTGCCACATTACCTTTATCAAGATATTAGCTGAAGTATGGCATTTAACAAAAAAATAAAAGAGTTCACAGTTTTTCATGGTCAATATCCCTGTTCTTAAAAGATTCAAGTAAAGTACCCAAATTTAATAAAGACACAGAACAAATATCATCATAAAAACATGTATGAGGGTCCCTATCCCATAAGTAGCAAGCAGCATTTGAATACACTTTCATCTTTGCTTTCCAGTCACGATTTGTACCACTGGTATTGTAGAGGCTAAATCCCTTTTCTCTCAATTTATATTAATGCTTTTTTTGAAGACGTTTTGTGAGTCAGGGCATTTCCTCCAGAAAGTACTTGGCTTTTTCAGCATGGATGCATCATTCATCACCAAAATCGAAACCTCTACTAGAAGACAGGCAGCAAGTTGTGTTCTGTGTTTGCTAAGCTTATCTCACTTCCAGAACACTCTTCCCAAATGGACATGGTGGTGACTGTAGCTACCTTCAGATACAACTTTTTTCAAGTGTAAATATCCGACTAGCAAGAATTTGTTCCACAGGCATAGAAAACAGTTAATTCTATTCTTTCAAGCACTCTCAAGCACTGCTCTTCTACTGGCCACATTAGTAGTTATGCTTGTTAAATACCTGTATGTGTCCAGGCACTGTGAGTCCACTGAGGATTCAAAAATGAAACATAATTCTTGCTCACATATGATAGAAAAGTGATCTCCTTAAAAGCCAAATGATAAAACATCAGCACCTTCCATTTCATAAAAAAACTTTGAACACTTATAACACCAGTCTGGCATTTGGCATTCTGGAAGCTAGAATTCAAAAATGGTTTTTTGAAATAAGTACTAGGAAAGCACTTCATACTATGTTAGTAATGGATCACAGGTTATAAATGTGTCTGCCTTTGGGAAAAGGTACTTTAGTTTCCCTGTCTACAGTTATTCGATATTCATAATCAATAGTTGGCAAGTGTGCTGAAATGATACACTGTCATAGTTAGAGACAGGTATGTATATAGAGATTGATATGTAAAATATAAAATCAACACCATCCTTTGAATTCCAGGTGAAGCTGTGTGACTTTGGTTTTGCACGCATCATTGGTGAGAAGTCATTCAGAAGGTCTGTGGTAGGAACTCCAGCATACTTAGCCCCTGAAGTTCTCAGAAGCAAAGGTTACAACCGTTCTTTAGATATGTGGTCAGTGGGAGTCATCGTCTATGTGAGCCTCAGTGGCACATTTCCTTTTAATGAAGATGAAGATATAAATGACCAAATCCAAAATGCTGCATTTATGTACCCACCAAATCCATGGAGAGAAATTTCTAGTGAAGGTAAAAAAAAATTGTAGCTGTGCCCTTTTGTCTAAAAATCTTCGTGATCCCAAATCAGCCTCTTTTTAATATCTTCTATTCATCTTCCAAATTCAATTACCAGTTTCTGGGCACTCTTCCTTAACATTTTCCGGGGCATAGCACTAATCCAAACCCCAACTGCTTCATTTTGAAACTACTAAAATATCTTTTTAACTGTCTTTCCTGGTAACCACTGCCAAATCCATTTTCAGGCCAACACTGCTTTCGTCTAATCTGCTCTCAAACATTTTGGCCTCTGTGCTGCTGCTGTAGGTGTGTGATACTGCCCAAGCTTGCTTCTAGCCTCATCTCTCACTACTCCCCTCCACAAACCTGGTTGTGTACTTTCTTCTGAACTAGTGTTTGCATTTTGCTGAGGCCTTCCCCCTGCCTATAGTCCCTCCTCCCTATTGAAATACTTCCAGTTCCTCAGGGACTCAGCGCCTTCCCTGATGCACATGGTGGACCACTGTTTAAAGTGGAACAATGGATCAAAGTCTGGAGTATTTGGAACAAAGAGAGACTCGTAATTAAAATACTGATGGAAAATCTGCTATTTAAGTGGTATACAGAAGAGAAACAGAACTAGTATAAGTCTTTCATTTGGCTCATCTCTGGGTCCAGGCCTTAGTATCAGTATTTCAGTTGTATCATTTTATAGGGCTGTATGTAGTCAGTATGTAGTTATATGGTTGCTTTGGTTTTGCAGTTTGTCCATTTCTCCAAAAAACTGGATAAAATGTATATGCCAAGATCTCACCACATATACCAAAACACCATGAACTATTTGTTAAAATGTATATAGTATGAACTTTTGGTAATAAGTTATTACCCAAATCTGAGCACTTCTGTAGAGGTAAAGCAATGATTAGAAAGCAGTATGTCATTGGAGGGGGAAAAAAATCAGCCTATAATCAGTCGGTTTTATTCATCCTAAAATAATAATAGTTAATTCTTAGAGCTATGTGCTAAGCACCATTCTAAGCCCTTTATATATATTAAACTAATGTCATCTTCATTTTACAGATGAAGGAAACTAAGGCAGAGTATAATTTAGCAACTGACCCCATATCACACAGAAAAGGTGATAGAGTAACTTCTGCCCAGTCAGGCTGGCTCCAGTCTACTTTTAACCTGTACTCTATATTGCCTCCTTAATAAACTTAATAAAACAGGTATACACTGTAAATTTAGTAAACGTTTGTGGATCACTAACATGTTAGGCAGAGTCACAGGTTGTGGATACTTCATACACCCAAATTCATGTATCTGATTTTGTCTTTCCTTAGCAATTGACTTGATAAACAACTTACTTCAAGTGAAGATGAGAAAACGTTTCAGTGTGGACAAATCTCTTAGTCATCCCTGGCTACAGGTAAAAAAATGTGTATCTTTCTTTGGCAGTCCTCATTTGAACAGATGATTGTGATTTCTCTTACCTAATGAAATCGCTCTAAGATCAACAGATTCTGCATGTCTTAAAATAACATAAGTGTTCTTCACTGATTACTTTGTACTGTAACTGAATCTCTGGAAGTTTTGCAGTACACCATTAAAATGCAGAACCAAAAGCAATGAATTAGTCATTTATAGGGCTTTGTGTGTTCACTTCACCTTTTTGTAAGATAAGCATGACATTTTGTCAAATATATTTTACTTTTAAAATATTGACTAAAAGATTTATATTTGCATCAGAGAGATCAGAAATGCCATTCGAAATGTTTTGCTTACTTCCTCCAAAGGCTGTTGCATAGACTTGTCAAAAGATACTCCCAAGCTTCAGAGTAAAGAAAGCTTTAGAACTATTATAAAGGGAGTTAGGAGTAGAATTAACTTCAAAACAAATGCAGTCAGTTACTCTCAGCAATTATCAAATTATCCTAATAGAAATTCTAAGCACTTTTCCCTGTTTCAAGGAGCAAGGTATATATAAGGCCTTTCATAGTATAAAACAAAATGTTTTAGTGATTATTATTAGTCACCTCAAGCCTGAGGCATTTTTTTTTTTAACTTTAGAAACTAGTTACTTCATAGGGACTCTAAATTTGAAAAAGTATTTATCTTCAACACTGGTAATTTAAAATATTACAAATGGAACTCACTTTGTAACAAGTACTTATGAGCAGGGGTTGTCAATTATATGACTAGGGTGCTAAGCAAAAAAAAATGGTTGACAGCATTTTGCTCGTGATTCATAATCACTTCATTTTTTTCTAGGACTATCAGACTTGGCTTGACCTTAGAGAATTTGAAACTCGCATTGGAGAACGTTACATTACACACGAAAGTGATGATGCCCGCTGGGAAATACATGCATACACACACAACCTTGTATACCCAAAGCACTTCATTATGGCTCCCAATCCAGATGATATGGAAGAAGATCCTTAGTTATCAATGAGCTAACTTCAGTAAGGGAGGATTTCATTTTATGGCCTGATATTTTGCTACACAACTGTTGTTTTTTTAGAGGTTATCTGCAAGGATGCAAAGACATGAGGAAATAAAGGAATCAGTGACACCAATACTGTAGTTCATAAGTAGGTACAAGAGGGCAAACTGACTAATAAAAGCACATAATGGAACCAAGATGAAGCTTTTCATAAACTGTTATAAGCAATAACTGGTTTTTATATAATTCTTCCTAATCCTTCACTTTAGTACAATAGTGCACTTAATTTATCCTCCCTTTCCTGTTCTTGTATTATTTTTTTTTAAAAGACAAAAGGGCAAGCCAGAGTCCAGTTATTGCATAGCTTAACCAAATCATGCAAGAGTTATAAGGTTGATTACTAAAAAGGTTTGCATTTAAGAGATAACTGAGAGGCTACCAGCATGTGATTTGCTATAAGATTGTTAAACATTTGTTTAACTGACCAAAGAGAGGCACTGAGGGGTTTTTCCTAGATTCCTGGAAAAGGAGTGCTGGACTGTTTCACCTTTCTTCTTTAGGTCCACCAAGACTCCAAAACCTTTTTGGAGCTGAGACTCTGAATATGCTCTCTACAACATAAAAATTGTCACCTTTTATGAGTATATTACAATAGCCTCTAAGGTAAATGTGGGACAACTGATGTTACAAAAACAGGAGTAGGGACTGCTGGTCTGAGTGCTGAGTTATTACGTATGTCTTCTCGTAGCTCAAATCTGCTGCTAAATACTCATGTTCCCACTGACATCACTGTGATGCCAGTTAGATTCCAATATTCAGTGGGTGTAGATCTATAATTGTACGATTTATCTCTTTACACAGGGCTGAATATTTTGAAGAAGAAAATTAAGTATATACTAAAATTAAGGCCACTGCAGGGTCATTTAATGCTACAGGAAAGAATAGCGAATAGTATCCTTTTTTTCTTCCTTTAGGTTATTGGAAGGCTTTACAGATATCTGGAATATTTTTAAATCAGTTATTTTAAGCAGTTTGTACAAGTGGGTGCAGTTGAGTGTGAAACACTTAATAGTTTATAAGGGTAGGGCTATATTATCAGCAGAGCAAATGAAAGAAAATATTTTTTCTAACATTTCAGCTCCAGCAGCCAGCTAAAGAAATTTTTTTCTATTCATATATATGAGGTTAGACTTTTTCATAGCTTTTTGGAAGTTACTAATAGTTAACCCCCACCTCCCCCCGCCCCAAAAAAAGAAAAAAAGTTTAATGTCTGGGACCATCCACTTATAAAATCTAATGGCTGTTTCTTCATTCCTCAGTAATCATTGTAAACTCCCCCCGCCCCCTCCAAAAAGAGCAGAAGATATGGAGTCAGAATATCTGGGTTTAAGTCTTTTAAGTCTTGGCTCCCTTCTTTATTAGCTGTGTTTGCCTGGTCAGGTGACAATCAGTCTGAGCCTTGAGTGTCTCAGTCTATAAAATAGAGTATCATAGTTCTTGCCTCTACCTTCTGTGTTGTGAAGCTCAGATATGAAAATATTCAATAAATATAAAAGTGTTAACTATCACTACCCACTGAATTTGAGGTGACAGAGGAAAAGATTGTTCATATTTGAACAAACTAAGACTGAGTGGAGGGCCTTTTGAGATCCCTGAAGCTATTCCTTTACCTAAAACTACCTAAAAATATCCTTGAGAGTAGTAGCAAACCTGCAGTGCCCGTGTTCCGAGCTCTTCACATGTTAACTTATCTTCATGACAGCATAATGAACCCCATCTCACAGATAAGGAAATTGAGGCAAATGGAGAATAACTCCTAAAAGTTACACGGTATTTAAACCCAGGCAGAGTGGCTCTTGACCATCTTTTATCCACTTAACCATTTTGCTACACTGCTTCCCCGTAAATATCTCCAGGAGATATCCACAATGTCTCTCTGTATTTCATATAGAAGTTTCAAAAATCAAATTAATTTTGCAAAGCCTTTTAGAAATGTATGTTCCCAAGTATAGAAGATGATTTCCCCAAATTTCTCCAAAGTAAGTCTGTCCATATCAACATGCTAAAATGGAATAACCTGAGTCACTAGGCACCCTATTGTGGTTTTATTGCATAAGGTGAAAATTAACTGGAATGTTTGTTTGCTATACTTATATAATCAATCTTTACAAGCCATGAAATTAATTGCACTCTTTTTGTTGTTGAATGCCTAAGTTTTCTAAATTTGTAAAAGCACTGTCATATAATTTGGAGTTGAGTAATTACTCCAGATACTGTATAATCTGCATAACCTTTTTTTGTCTTGAAGTCATTTGTATAAGAAATAATTGTGAGAAACATTTGATAATGTACAAAGTAGTCTATAATGACACTGTTCAGTACATTTTTATATCTTTTTGTTACATCCCACTTTTTGTAAATATTCTCAAAGAAGCTTAATAATAAAATGTATTTCCATATCACCATATTTTTCCATGTGAAAACCTGCACCTATCACTAGTTGAGGTATCTAAGCTTATTTGGTTGTGTTATTTTCCCAGGCCTTGGTAAGAACTATTTTGAAAATAGTATTTGTAAATGGAACTAATGCTATATTTAAGAACACTGACTTTTTTAACGGCCTAAAATAAAAAACAACTCATTATTACAATTTTATATGAAATTTGAGGTAATTATCTAGAGGTCTCATTTCTTGGAATGAAATTTTGGAATAATTATAAATTTTTCAGGAACTACCATCAGGTAGTCTACTACAACTGCCAGATGACAAATAAATACCTACTATCTAAGTAAATTTTCTAGGTTTTATGATATAAGGCATTGCCTGACTCTTCCCCTTAATTACAAAAACTATTAAATAATTGGGATGAGCCAACTATGGGCGTTTTCATCTTCCAAAAGTTCTCCCAAGACTTCAAAAAAAGAAAATAAATATGGAAATGAACTAAGGGTGACTAGGAATGACCCATGTCTGGACAGCATCTGAAAAATAAGGCCTCCATTTACCAATTCGGTTCTGTTATGCCAGAGAAGCAGTAAAATGCATCAGTTCATCACTCTGCCAATGAACTCTGCCAATATAATTATGCCATAAGTTCAAGACACATGGCTAATATTCTATCCCTTTAATCTTACTTGAAATTTGTTGCTAATATAACAATTCCTCACAACTCCATGTGTACGATATTAAAAGTTCTGTGAACCAAAAAATGAGAACTAAAACTTGACATCTGAAAATAAGGGAAAATTAGCTCAATTGAGAAAATTATTTCTCCTAGGTAGTCTACATTAACTCATATTTCATGTACATGTCAGGTGACTTTAAAATTTTTTTAAATCTAATTTTGTTTCTGATTATAAAATTCATAGAAGCATACAGTAAAAAATTCAAATACCTTAAAGGAGAACAAATAAAAAATTCTCTTCCCACCCCAAAAACTCACTTCCAGATTGGGCATCCTTTTCTTCCTTCTTGTGTACAAGTAAATATCACAAAACAGAAAACAACCAGTCTGCACCAAAATATTTATTTCTCGGGAATTACTGATAAGCATTTCTTTAAATGTAGCTTTTCTCCAACACAAATGGAATCATAACTAAAACATTTTGCACCCTACTCTTTTCACTTACTAAATCTTAGAGAACTTATGTCACAATATATTGTTCTACATCATTTTTAAAAATACATGGATAATTTAACCAGTCCTCTGTGAATGGCCAATTAGGCAGTTTTCCAGTTTTTATTAAACTAATCAGTGTTCATGTTTACTTTTCGAAATAAAATAAAAATTTAGCAATTAGCTTTATTCATTAAAGGAAGCTCAGTTTCATGATAACTTGTTTCCTATGTGAGAACACACACTTGTTCCTGGAGTCAGACACAATCTTAAAAGATCATTGTTTAGTTGTATATAAGGTGGGCTATTTTTATTGGCTATGAAGAGATAAAATATTTTAATACTTATTTTACCTATGATACATGAAATGTGTTCCCTCTATTTTTGTTTCTTGGGCAGACTTTGAGGGTAAAAAAGTCCAAACTGAAATATCACTGCCAAGCAAGTTCACTAAACCCAGCTACAGGTGATGGAGAGGGTTTTGACTGACGGTCATTCCTTTGATGGCTTCTACCACGAAGTCTCTGATGAGGCAGCAAGGCAAAAAAGTTAAATCTTTCTCCCATCTTCTTAGGATTCATTAACATGTCATACCCCTGAAGTAACTGCTGCCTTGATGATGGCTCGTCTGATTTGTCTAAAAGAACCTAGAAAAAAAAATTTCTTAGTAAAAACAAGACAGGATTTCTAATTATCTGCAGCAATACTAATGACTGTTAGCTATTCGATAAACCTGTGCTTAGAATGTGTTTCTGATCACCTGCCTCAAAGTCGGGGTGCTTCTTAAAAACAAACGTTGCTGTGACCCAAAATGTTGCTGTGATTTGAATGTTTAACAAATACTCCCAGATGGTTTGATCTACACTGAAGGGTTACAGTGTCCTCAGAACAGTTACAAAAATTCATATCCCAAAATGTGGACAAGTTTTCTAAAGAATGTGAAACTATTTGAAAGTCTTAAAACTCTACCTCATATAAAGATGCATGAAACTTAGGCTGCTCCACCCCCAAGGCATCTGGTTACACTAAATTCTACACTGCTGAGAAGACTGGAAGATGAAAGTTCTGGTAAACTACAAGAACATTAAGGCCAGGTGAACTTATTATTTAAAATACATTTTTTTAATACTGTGAAATTAAAATATTTAATGATAGTGAAACAAATCATTACCTTCAGCCGGACATCAATGCCCATATTTTTTAAAAACGTTTGTTGTTTTATCGGACCCAGAGAAGCTACTTTTTCCTGTGCCATTCTGCGCAAATAACTGAAGTCCACATCAGCTGTTAGGTCGGCTGTTCCTGGGGCAATTAAGACATCATGAAGCTTGTGGCCACAAAACCCCTTGAACATAATTTTTTAAATGGTGAGTTTTTGTTTTATGGTGTCATTGTCAAAATTAAAGAAATGTTGTCATTTTGGTACATTTTACATAACTATTAAAAAAATATATGGCCTAGGTCAGTGGTTTACCAACTCTTAAAATGTAGTAGCAACCCTTTTCTTGAAATGAGCTGCTATGTGGAAAACCTAGTAATACCCTTGACAGTTATATAACATTTTCATTTATGCCCATGGTGATGGAATGGGGGAGATCTCATTAATTTCTCCAGATGACTTCAGGTTATTAAAACCTAGATGGTGTTTTACAAAGTATATCCATTAACTTTGTGAGTCAGAATCACCTGAAAATATATTACCATGCTCTATTCAGACCTAGTGAATCAGAATCCTGGGGGTAAGACTAGGAAATCAGCATTTTTAACAAACACTCCAGGTTTTTCTTAGGTATAATAAAGTTACAAATTGAGAACCACAGATTTAGAATATGAATAAAAGCATTTAGTTAAATGTATTTCAATTAAAGTATAGTAAACAATTGATCATATTCAAAGAACTTAAGAGGCTGCTTAAGAAACAACAAAAAAAAATACATCTGGAGAGGAAAAGATGCTGAAAATATGATAGAAAAAGTCTGATTACAGTAGCTACATTATATCTGCAAAGAAGTGCCAAAAACAATTTTTTTAATGGAGGGGCAGGAAATTTTAAGATGGTCTTTCCATTTGTATTATTTAGATGCTTACTAGGATCTATGCAAACCTAGGTTCTACAACTTAAGGAAGAATGTAGACAATTCAGGCCCTACTTAAAAGAGAGCTGGACAGTTGACTTAGGCTTAGGAATAAGATCTAGAGTTAAGAGTATTATAACAGCAATTAACATTAATTATAACATAATATAAAACAACAAAGCTAGGCTCTGTGGAAACCAAAGATAAAGATCTTCAATGAGTTCAAACCTAACAATTGATAATTAAGTAAATCATACCAATTAAACAGTTAAATTCTAATAAGTCATGTTACTGAATTATACATACCCTGAAGGTATCTGTCTTAGTTCCATCATGACCATAATCTGCAATCAGTGCAGCACCTCCAGTTAGTGCAATGCGCTGAGAAAGTTCCTGGATAATAACACCAGCATCAGGACACACTTCCACGTGATCCCTTGTTTCATCGTGCTGGTAAGGGAACAGTCGGAAGAAAATATTTTAAAAGAACTGTTTCTTTAGGGTTTCTTGCGTTTTTTTTATTTTCAGGGTTTTTTAAGAAGAGCATTTCTTAGTTACAATAAAAATAAATTCATTCCCAGTATATGTTCCCTGCACTCAACTTTTCAATGACATCCTTTTTATTATACAGAATTTCCTGGATCTTTGATGCCATCCACTAAGCTTACAAAGACATTTCAATTTTAATCCCTTTTATAAAAAGACATATGACCTCCAACCCTCCAGGTGGCCAAGTACATTATCACTTTACTTATGGTGCTATTACTTCTACATTATAATTCACATAAATATATTACAATGGATTGAAAGCATAGAAAAGGGGATTTTTTGTGTGTCTGCTCAGAAGAGTGCCTGCCACATAACAGGCACTCAAAAAATGGTGCCAAATGAACAAATGACATAAAGCCAATATAAAAAAGCAGACCCTATTAAACAACTATGATACCTTCTGTTGGGGCTAAAGGTATACCTAATGATATTCCCTAAATCTAGAAATATCAGTTAATGAACTATGGCCAATATACCTGAGGCCCTTATTTCCCAAGACGTTTGAGTATTAACTAAGGGTCCTCAATAAGTGCAGATGAGCTTAAAAAATAAAATGTCAGATATTAATACTTGTCAACTTGACTAGTATATATGAAATTTCACTAATTCCTGAGATAATGGAAAATTTATTTTTCTTCATTAGAAAAACGTACACTAACACCTGCTCCCTCCTAACACCATATAAAAATGAAGTAGTGACCTGCCCTGACATCTCTGCCTACAATAGCGCAGGTCTAACAGATACAGAGTTAGAAAACTCAGCTCTTGAATCTCAGCTCTTCCTACTACTTACTAGAGATGAATTACTTAAGCCTTTCAGAGTCCATTTCGTCATTATACATGTACTAGAATTACTGTCAAGGATTAAAAGAAACAACAAACCACTTAGTCTCCAGTGCTATTAAATAAATTACTGTGGTTTAACTATAAAAACCATGCAGTCAGCCACTTCAGGCATAAGCTGATATATTACAGTATACCATGCTGACAGTCTTTCTATTTTAGACTGCTCTTCGAGATGACAGTCTCTATTACCATTTGCCCCATTCAAATGAGAGGGAAAATCATTACTCCCTCTCTCATAAGTGAATGCTACTCAAGTCAAGAACTGAAAGGAATCACAATTCCCAGGGCCAGGGCGTTAGCTCTTGGTAGTTTTACAAGTTTGTTTCTCACTCAGGTAAAATTCGGTAGCCAAAAGATGAAAATACAAAATGTTCACAAATGCTTCGGCTGATGTTTTAACTTACTTAAGCTTTGCAAAAGAAACTTAATTCATAGATTAATGTTGAAAAGCTCCTGTGCTTTTTAAAAACTGATAACTTCTGAAGCAGCAGTTTTTAATTATGGCAAAATGAAATCTTTCTTTTTTTCCTGAGCTGGTAAAAAAGGAATAAAATAGGCAATCTA